AAATAATAATACAACAAATACGGTAATTATGTGTGACACTTGGAAATTGATGTGGTGGAATGACATCCTAAGTTGGAATATCGGTACTGCATGAATGAATGTTTGCATGTTGGTGATTTCAGAATCCCGATTGGGGCGTTCTTAAGGCTCCGATAAAGGCGGGGCTCACTCAGCTCCAGGGGGAGGACCTCAACAATCGCGCGGTGTCTGTCTTCAAAATGGTGGGTATCATGTGCTTGTAGATCACTGAATGTGAATGTTGTCTTGAAAATCTCGACCCAAATATGAAAAAATATTTTTCAGGGCCTCTAGATCTGTGCATTTGAACCAAAGAATTATTTGGAATATACAGATCACCTGATTACACAGGTTATATAAGCAGTGTGAAAACTGATAAAAAGTCTGGTTTATACAGGTTTTTAGGTTTAGTCGGAGTTCAGTTTAGACAGGTTGTTATGTTTATAAGGAATGATCCTATTATTTTTTATGTATGCATTTTTCACAAAGTACCATACCGTATTCATCCTCAAATAAGCCCAGGGGATTAACACATAATCTGTGACTCAAAGCAGGGAGGTAGAGTGATCATATTATTGCCTGGCATTTTTACTGAATTGCAACTATATATGGGTGGGCTTATTACCAGGCATAGGCTTATTGCCGAACAAATATTGCATTGCAAACATCTTTACTATCACGAATAATGCTGCAGTTTGAAGATATGTATTCTGCAGAATGAAATTGGTTTCTAATCATACAGAATATTTTTACCAACTGTCTTTCCTGCTGGTGTAAGTATATATATCTGGGTCAATTTTTAAGACAAGAAAAAAGTAAAAATTTAAGCAACAGAACTTATTGGAATGCATTTCAGGTCATGTTAATCCATGACTTGATATTAGATTTCAGACAGAAATAATTAAAAAATCAAAATGTATTCATTTTCGTGTCACTTAGATTTTAAAATCATTATGTGGAATTTAAGAAATTCAGTATTTATAATAAAATTGTTATTTCTCTTGAAGATTTTACGATACATGGGAGATCCCCACCTGAGTAAGAGGAGAGAAAAGGCAATGGCTGACTATATCGTACTGATGGTAAGTCGCTTACACAGGGCACACAGGTTTTGTCCTCCATTAGAGAGACAGACAGATGAATACAGTTTTCAGCACATCTGTCTATTCATGGCTCCAGACAAATTGCAGGAATATGTTATCATACATGAGAAGACACTCAGTTTTGTAGGAAGTCATCTGATGTTTTACTCTGAGAATTTTAAACTCCCTCTAAAAGTCAGAATTTCCTTACAGTTGGCTGTAATGTTAAAATTCCTAATTATTTGAAATCCAGTTTAAAGGAAATTAAGTTATTTTCTTCTTGGATCAATGGTAATTACATGAACCAATTTAATTTATGAGTACTGCTCAAAAGAAATGAAATAATGATACAATTGCTGAGCATGAAGATTAGGATACACATATGCTACCAGGATACCTTGGGATCTTATTTCATATACTTATGGTTATATATTTAATGAAAACATTTTGCCATGTTGCTTAAAGAACAGGTCTTCTGAGCCTCTTGTCTTTTTTATGATTTTATAATTGTGACACGTCTGTTTTGTTTCTGCGACACAGGGTCTGAACAACGAAGGACTTCGAGATGAGATTTACTGTCAGGTGGCGAACCAGTGTTGGAACAACCAGGACCTCACCGCCATAGGACGGGCCTGGTGTCTGATGGCTGCGTGCCTCAGTGCCTTCCCACCCAGCGAAAAACTCTTCAAATACCTACTGAAGTATGTACAATATCATAAAGACATCAGCAATCATGTTGTTTCCTCGTTCACTTGAGGATGTGAAAAGAAAATTATTCAATGAAAAAAATGTGGTTGAATGCCATCCTTGCTGC